TACTTTCCTAAAGTGTTAATTTTCTTCAGACTTCCACTCATTGCCCATCTTACCCTAGAGTAGAGATACACTGCTGGTCTGTGTGGCTATCAGTTATTTGCAGGTGGCTTAGTGTTTAGATTACTCCTGAAGTATAAAGTGGCAGTCACTTTTAATACATATTTCAGTGTAGTACTTGAGGGCACAGAGCAGGACCAGAATGCCTGGCTTTCATGCTCTGCATTTGGTGCTTAATGGTTGTAGAACACATAGCCTCGCTTCCAGTGTCCCAGTGTCCTCAGGGAGCCCTCGCTAAACTGGATCCCTGAGATCCAGTATCAAAATCACAGGCAAGGGAGTCTGATTGCTCATCTCGGGTCAGGTGTCTCCCGGGTGTGTTGATTGATGGTCATGGAGACTTGGTACAGAGTAATCGAGTTCCTTCCCCTAGATAGGCCAGCAGTCTAGCTGTGGCTGGCCTTGCTTGACATAGACTGCTCCTTAGTGTGCTGGGTGTAGGCTTCTGCCTCCACACCCATCATTCACGCACTGCTTTGCCTTCTCTTTCTTTTTTCCTTCTTGAGATAGGGTCTCTATATGTCCTGGCTGTCCTAGAACTTGCTATGTACATTAGGCTGGCCCCTAACTCACAAAGACCCTCTGGATGCCATTCCTCACACAATAGATAGATAATCTTACCAGTGCTTCTTGTTGCACACCAAGTGATGTATTTCTCATAAACGTTGTCACTGTCACTTCCCCCCAGGACAAGCCATTCCTTCTCAGTTGTCTCCTCGCTGTTAATTTAATGTCTGAGATGTTCAGGATGTGTTTGTGGTGTTCAGGAACCAGTGAAGGAACTGTTTACTCCAGCCCCTCCCCAGAAAGCCACGGTCGAGTCTCACTGCCATCGCTTTGCAAGCCTTATTCCTGCAGAGTGGCTTTGCTCTCCCAGGACCCCAGGGGCGTCACTCAGCATCCTTCTCTGATGGAGCAATCACCATGATGTTCGGCTGCAGTGAGCTGCAGAGGCCTTGCAGGAAATGTTGAGAGCGTGGCCCCCAGGTGGAGCTTGTTCAGGGTTATTGAGCATTTAAAAACAGGCAAGCCCTGTCAGAGATCGAGCCACAGCAGTAATAGAAGGGAGAGAGATCTTCCAGTGCGCGAGCTGGCCGTGGTGGCATGCTCCTTTAATCCCAGCACTGGGAAACAGAAGCAGGCAGGTCAAGGGCAGAGGAATTGGTGAGTTACTCAGCCCATAGTTATGAAATAAACATTTATCAGAATGTCTTGTTTTGTAACTCTTGCTGTTTTATTAGGGATAAAAATTGACTTTGCATCTATGCCTTGCTCCAGCACATTGACCCGTATCCATTCTTGGGAGTGTCTTTGTCTTTCCTAAGAAACTGGGTCTATAATTATTACATAAAAGAAAGAAATTAGGGAGCTGGAGAGATGGCTCAGTGGTTAAGAGCACTGGCTGCTCTTCCAGAGGTCTCAGGTTCAATCCCAGCACCCACATGGCAGCTCACAAGTGTCTGTGACTCCAGTTCAAGGGGACTCGACACACATGGTTAAGCACCAATGCACATTAAAAAAAAAAAAAAAAAATGGCCCACTCCTTTACTCCCAGCACTTGGGAGGCAGGTGGATCTCTGTGAGTTTCAGGCCAACCTTGTCTTCAGAGTGAGTTCCAGGGCAGCCAGGGCTGCACAGAGAAACCCAGGCTCCAAAAACAAAACAAAAGCAAAAGCAGACAACAATTTAAAAACAAAAACAAAACAAGAACACAATGCCTCAACATCTCATTGCTGGAGATCTTAATTGGGCGTTTGGCTTGGTTGTTTAGACAGGTTTTGCTGTGTATTCTAGGCTGGCCTCCTGCGAAGCACTATGTCCGGCTTGGCAGTCTCCATCATAGTTAAGCTCTCAGCTTTCTCCGCTTTGCCATTCCCCACTCTGTGGTCACTGACCATCTTCCATGAAGCCATGTGTGTGAAGGTGTACATCCCGTACCCTCATACCCCAGTTAATCGAATCAGCAAAGTTAGGGTCTTAGGAAGTAGCAGGGCTTGGGGAATTGAGTCATAAGGGCTTCAGGAGGATGGAGTAGAAAAAGAAAGAGAAAACAAATTATTGTGTCCATGTGGTAGTGGGGGGGTGGGGAATGGAGAGGGTTCTGCCACTGAGTGCACATTTCAGTTTCTGCTAAATGAGAATTTCAGTGTACTTTTTCTTTATTTTTCTCAGGGCCGTGTGCAGGTTAGGCTAGCGCTCTGCCGCTGAGCCCTGTCCTCAGCCTGTGGTTTGATTTAGAGCTGTGGCTAGGATTTGTACATGTTACAGGCCTATAGCGTCTGTTTACTGCTCTGTTTGGGGCAGATGCTTTCCTGATACCCTGTTATTTACATCTGCTCAGCTTGCCCAGGCTTGCCAGTAGGAATTGAGTGGTGTCTGGATGCAGCCTTGAAGACAGGCCCAGTGTCCTGACTGTTAGAAACAGAAAGGAATGCTTGAGGCTTCGGTTGTGTTCAGAGTGTGCCATTGTTTACTTTTCAGCACTGGGGAGGTGTGGTGAGGAGAGGGGATGGTCTGGGCCAGAAGGCATCACAGTTTTAGTTTAGAGTTGAGGAGAGCAAAAACAGGTTTACAGCTGCAGTTGGGAAATGCTAAATTGTAGTCTTGGAGTCTTTTCTCCTGGTTAACCCCTTCCCACGTTTTGTTCATGATGGGTTCGTTTGTTTCAGTCATTTTAGACGATATCTTTGCAAAAATACACTAATTCATCACTGTTCACCCTGTGTTAATGCTGCTAGGATTTAAGAAATAGGATGGAAATAGAAACATTTCAGGAGAAATGTAGGGGCCCAGTAGGGAAAGCCAGAAATGGACTGTCGCTGGGAGGAAGGGCCAGTATTGTAAGTGCTCTGTGGTTTTCTTGTTTGTTCTGCAGTGGTGGTGTTTGAACCTATGCCCTTATGTATGAAGAGCATGCTATAGTCTTAGCTAGTTTAGTTTTGTGGGTTTTTTTTTTTTAAAGAATTATTTACTTACTGTGTATACAGTGTTCTGCCTGAATGTATACCTACAACCAGCTCTCAATACAGGTGGTTGTGAGCCACCATGCGGTTGCTGGGCTCAGAGCAGGCAGTCAGTGCTCTTAACCACTGAGCCATCTCTCCAGCCTTACTTTGTCTTTGAGAGAGTGCCATTTGTTTCTTTTTGTTTTTCGGGACACCATGTGTAGCTTTTAGATCAGGGTGGCCTCGAATTCAGAGATCTATCTGCCTCTGCCTCCCGAGTGCTGAGATTAAAGGCAGGCACCACCAGCACCTGGCTGAGACAGAGTCTTAACTGTATACTACTAATCACCTGGAACTCACTAGTCACACCAAGATAGCCTCAAGTTCAGAGATCTGTCTGCCTCTGCCTTCCCAGTGCTAATACCGACCAGCCTTCTTTTTTTTTTTTTTTTTTTTTTTTTTGAGACAGAGTTTCTCTGTGTAACAGCGTAGCTGTCCTGGAACTCAGTCTGTAGACCAGGCTGGCCTTGAACTCACAGAGATCCACTCTGTCTCTGCCACCTGAATGCTGGGATAAAGGCATGCACCATCTCTGTCCTGCCTGATCAATTTTTTTTTTTTTTCTAATAAGTCTGTCTCAGAGCTGGGAGTATGGCTCAGTGGTAGAGTACTTGCTTAGTCTACCCAAGGCCCAGGATCTAATCCCTGTTACCACCCAAAACACTGGAGGATGGGTGGAAGGATGGATGGGTGGGTGGGTGGATGGGTGGTGGGCAGATTGAAAGGGAGCCTGGAGAGATAGTTTAGTGGTAAGAGCACTTGCTGTTCTTCAGAGGACCTGAGTTCAGTCCTGCCAGCACCCACATGGCAGCTCACAACCTGTATCTCAAGCTCCAGGGATGTGATGCCATCTTCTGGCTCCCAGTGGTGTCCGTCTGTGTATTCCTTAGTATTTCTCTGCAGAACAAATGTTATTAATGCCACGCTTTGTTGATCTCGAGACACCATGAAGCCCCAGACGGTCCTCAAAGTCAGGGCCAGTCGTCCTATGGCCACATACCCCACCTCCAGTACTGGGATTGCAGGTGTAAGCTGCCATGCATGGCCCTGGTGGCAGATCTTGGGCAGTCAGACTAAGTTAGAACTGTGACCTCCAGGCCCTGTTTCCTTCTCATAGAAGTAGCTCCAAAAAAAGAAGTAAAATAATCTTGTTTTTAGGTACAATTGGACTCTAGCTGTTAAACTTTAGCATGACTTCCCAAACCTCTGCTTCTTCATCTTCAGGATGAGAAATTGGCCCTGATTCTTGAGGTTGCTTTGAGGAGTCAACATAATAAGACACACACACAGAACTCTTAGGCCCAGTTGTTTTGGGACAGGATGAGTACTTGATGCACAGTTTAAAACAAAAAGAAAGGGCTGGGGTAGAGGGGGTGGCTTGCTGGATCGATGGCTCAGAGGTTAAGAGCACAGGCTGCTCTTCCAGAGGTCCTGAGTTCAATTCCCAGCAACCATCTGTAATGAGATCTGGTGCCCTCTTCTGGCCTGCAGGGTACACGCAGGCAGAACACAGTGTATATAATAAATAGATAAATCTTTAAGGAAAAAAAAAAAAAAGGGCTGGGTGCTGCTCAATGCACAGGGTTAGCAGGCTGCAGACCCTGGGTGTCACCCTCAGCGCAAAACAAAGTGAAAGGGAGGGAAGAAAGAAGGCAGAGGGGAAGAAAAATCGCCTGCGTGGGTTTGTGTTAGCATCATTTTTCTGAGCCTTTGTCGACTGGTTTCCTCTGGGCCTCTGGACTCCGTGTGGTAGTGGGTGGGCCGGTGTGGTAGGATCTTGCCTGAGTGTAGGCAACACCTGGAAACAGGCACTTCCTCTAAGGCACAATTCATTGGTTCCAGTTAGCACACTGGAACGCATGGATGAAAAAATGAAATGGACAGGCTTTTAGAATGAGTTTGCCTTTATGTGCTTTCTTTGTTTTGTTTTTGAGGCAGTGCCTTTGAAGATGAGACACTGAGGGTTCGACAGCTGAAGCTGGACAAGCAGGTGAGCAGGGGTCTCTGGACGACTACACTGACTGGGCTGAGAGCCTTGGCTCTGGAGTCATGGCAGGGTCTCCCAGGAAGATTAGAAGGGCAGCATTGCTCGTGGCTACTCATTAAACAGTGTGTGGACTTGGTTGCCAAGCCAAAGCTCTGGGCTGTGGCAAGAACAGGGTGATTTGAAGATGGTAGCAATAAACTGGCTTTGTTAATAATCAGTAGAAATCTGCTAGCACCTTCTAGAAGAACTAGAAGAATGTTGTAGCTGGGCATGGCAGCACTAACTGGTAATCCCAGCTTTAGAGAGGCTGATCACTGCAAGTTCAAGGCCAGTCTGAGCTACACAGGGAGACCCTACCTCATGACACGAAAGTAAATAAATGAAATGATGTATTGCCTGTTTCTTTTGTCATAACAAAATACCTGATGCTGAGTACATTACTTTTTAACAAGAAACTTATTTAGCTCACAGTTTTAGAGGCTAAAGTACAAGCCCCTAGCTGCATCTGCTTGGTGTCTGGCGACGCCCATCTTAGTTAAGTTTCTATTGCTGGGATAAATACCGTGACCGTGTTCATCTTACACCTTGTAGTACATCATGAAGAAACCGCACTCCAGACTTGCCTAAAGGCACAGCTATGGAGACATTTTCTCACTTGAGGTTCCCTCTTCCCAAATAACTCTAGCTTATATCAAATTGACATAAAACCAGCCAGCACAGCATGTTATGTCACAGCGTGGCAGAGAAGCAACAGGGAATAGCTGGATGCAGAGGAGATGTCACATGACAAGGCAGGAAAATAAAGAATGTTTTGTTTTCTTTTTGGCTTCTTGGTGGTGATTGGGGCCATAGCAGGCCTTGGCTGGCCTCAAAGTACAGAGATGCCCCTGCTTCTGCCTCCTGAGTGCTGGGATTAAAAGCGTGTCCAACCACACTCAGCTTTTTGCTTCTTGAGATAGGTTCTCAACTGTGTTGCCCACTCGGGCCTCAAATTCATAATCCTCCTGCCTCCACCTCCCGAGTCCTGGGTTTATAGATGAGTGCCACCACCACTGCTGGCACTTTTTATGACAACTTGCTCTTGAAACCAGCTGACACCCTGGGCTGGGAACTGCCTTAATCCCTTCCCACCACAGGCCGGCAGTGACTTAACCCTTCTACCAGGCCACAGCTCTCTCTCACAGTGTACTTCGTGCTGTCCTGGAACTTGCCGTGTAGCCCAGGCTTTCCTTGAACTCAGTCCTCCTGCCTCAGCCTCTCTGGGGCTGGGTTATAGCTTCTGCCCTGTTCGCCATCCTTCAGCATGACTACACTGTGGGGCCATGCTTCAGGAAAGAAATCTTTGGGAGATACTGCAGGCCAAGTCCAAACTGGAACAATTCCATTAAACAGTTTTTCCTTATCTACAATTTGGTCAGAGCCAGATCTCTGAGTTTGAGATCCACAGAGTGAGTTCCAGGATAGGATAGCCAGGGCTACACTGAGAAACCCTGTGTTTCAGAAGAGAAAAAAAATGGCCTGTGTTTGCTGCTGTGTTTAATTTTTTTTGGGTTTGTTTGTTTGTTTGTTTTTCAAGACAGGGTTTCTCTGTATTGCTTTGGAGCCTGTCCTGGAACCTAGCTCTGTCGATCAGGCTGGCCTCGAACTCACAGAGATCCACCTGCCTCTGCCTCCCAAATGCTGGGACTAAAGGTGTGCGCCAACGCCCAGGTTTTTTGTGTGTATTTTATTTATTTAGTTAGTTCTGATGTGGGGAGGGGTTGGGATTATGAGACAGGGTCTCTCCTGAAGCCCAGGCTGTCCTCAGACTCCCAGCCAGCATCTTCCTGCCTCAGTCTCCCAAGTACTGGCATTGCAAGCAAGTTCCACCTTGCCCAGCTGTGTTTGTTTCCTTCACTGGACTAGTGGTGTAAGAACCGAGGACAGATTTTTTTTTTTAATAGTTTATATTGTTCCTAATGTGCATTGTTGTTTTGCCTGCATGTATGTTTGTGTGAGGGTGTCAGGTCCCCTAGAACTGAAGTTATAACAGTTCTAAGTTGCCATGTGGGTGCTAAGAATTGAACCCAGGTCCTCTGGAAGAGCAGTTAGTGCTCTTAACTACTGAGCCATCTCTCCTGGCCCTCCAAGGATGGATTTTAAGAGATACATTTATTTTTGATTGACACATAGTATTTGTACGTATTTTGAGGCACTGTGACATTTCCTACCAAGTTTATGTGTGTGCTTGCTTGCTCCTGTGTGAGGGAGAGGAAGAGAGGGAGGGAAAGAGAGAGATTATTCATTTGTTTTTAGTTTTTTGAAATAGGGTCTGTCTTTGTAGGCCTGGCTGACCTGGATCTCACTATATAGACCAGGCTGGCTTTGAACTCACTGAGACCTGTTAACCTCTGCCTCCCAAAGAGCTGGGACTACAGACATGGCCACCATGTCTGGCTCCCACTAAGTTGTTTTTTTTTTTTTTTTTTTTTTTTTTTTTTTTTTTTTACTGGTTATTCCATCAGAATTCCCTAGCCTAGGGACATACAACAGTCTTTTGTTACATGTTTGAAAGTAGGAAGGAATGAATGTGCAGTGTTACATAATGATTAGGCAACTTAGAATTATACCTGACATCCTTCCCTTTCATGTTTGCTTTTTTGTTTGATTTTCTTCTAACATGTGTCAAAAACATTTAATAATCACATGACTCTGCATGGGATCTATCGTGAAAGAGCTCTGGAGTTCCAGTTCCAGATCTGCCTCCCTCTTCTGAGCTCCGTAGGCATCAGGCATGCATATGGGGCACATACATACATACATACATACATACATACATACATACACACACACACAGGCAGAACATTTATTCATTCGCAAAGTAAATATAATTTTAAAATAGCATATGTGACTGCTTTCCTTTCTAGCTTACTAGGACGTTTCCCTCATATCCATTCATGCCTTTTTTGCCTGACTTTCTTGTTTGATCTTGCTGTTTTTGGTTTGGTTTTGGGGGTAATTAATCTCACCTTGTTACCCAATCTGGCCATGAACTCCTGGGATCAAGATGTCCTCTGCTTCACCCTCCCAAATAGCTGAGACTAAATGAGTGACATCTTGCTCAGAGTTCCCACCCACCCTCCCCCGTCATAACCAGCACTTTAAAGCCACATAAACACATACAAAACATGTAGGTGGGTTTTACCTACAAGCTGGAGTCATGGAAGCCAGACCCTCAGCTGAGAAACTGCTCCTCCCATCAGATTGGCCAGTAGGCAAGCCTGTGGGGCATTTCCCGATTGAGGATTAGTGTGAAAAGGTCCAGCCTGCTGTGGGTGGGGCCATCCATGATGGAGGTCCTGGGGTGTATAGGAGAGAAGTGAGCCTGCCTGTAAGCAGCATTCCTCCATGACCTCTGCTCCAGTTCCTGCCACTCTTTGCTGTCCTGACTTGCCTTTTTCGAAGGACTGTAAATGGAGATGAAACCCTTCCTCCCAAGTTGTTGTGGTCATGGTGTTGAGCACTGCAAAAGAAAGTAACTAAAGCTGGGCGGTGGTGGTGCACGCCTTTAGTCCCAGCACTCGGGAGGCAGAGGCAGGTGGGTCTCTGTGAGTTCAAGGCCAGCCTGTCTACAGAGTTCCAGGACAGGCTCCAAATAAATAAATAAACACTAAGACACAAGCAAGCATGCAAGCATTCTGCAGAGTTTCCAGGGCCCCTGGCTCTTTTCCTTGCGTTTACCCATAACTCTTGTTCCCTGTGCAGAGTGTACCTACCACCTGCCTCTTATTTCTTCTCACCTCTGACCCAGGCTCATTTGATTTCAAATTTTGTAATATGAACAAGAGTTGGCAAACTGATGTTGGTTGTGGCAGTGTATCCCAGTAATCCCAAGATTTGGGTGTTTTGCACAGGAGGATTGTTAGTTGAAAATCAGCCTGGAAGACTAAGGAAGAGGAGGAAAAACCTGCCTGAGTGTTTCCATTTCTTCACTCTGTGGACCAGGCTGGCCTTGAACTCAAGAGATCCACCTACCTCTGCCTCCCAGGTGTTGGGATTAAGGATGTATACCACCGCGTCCACAGTGGTTCTTTGAATTGTTTTTCAAAAAGAAAAGCAAAGCCATGTAAACTGTTCCAAGAGGGTAGGCCCTGTGCTGTAATACTGAATCTTGTCTGTAGAGGGCGCTGCTAGAGAAGAAACAGAGAAAGAAGCGCCTTGAGCCACTCATGGTACAACCAAACCCAGAAGCCAGGCTGCGAAGGTTAAAGCCGAGAAGTGGCGAGGAGCACACGCCTTTGGTGGACCCTCAGACACCTCGCATCGATGTCATCCTACACGGTGTGTATTTAGACAATTCCACATCTGACTAAAGTACAATCTTCACAGACCCAAGATGAGGCAGGAGAATGGTGATAAGGTACACAGAGATAGTACTGACACCCTCCTAAGATGCTCCGTAATCTTTACAATCACATTCTGGGTCTTGGCTGGGGGATCGTGGGAGATGCCTTCAAATTCATGTCCATCCTACAACTATTGGTCTGATGCAGAATGAACGGCACTGTCTGAAATGAATGAGTGAATTCTCAGGATGAACGAAGTCTCTGCCCTGAGCCACACTCCCACCCTCTCGGTCTCACTCACAGGTGAAATACAGCTTAAGTAGCTGAGCCTGGCAATAGAATCAGTCCCAGGCCTGGACAAACGTGCCTGTGACGTTAAGAGACCTGAGATGTCTGGGCAGCCTTTGATTCTGACCACATCCCCCAAACCACCCAGCTCAATTCTGGTTAACATGCACTCTCTGTCTTTGGGCTCCTAGGCATCGATGGTCCAGCTGCTTTCCTTAAGCCAGAAGCTCAGGATTTGGAAAGCAAGCCTCATGTTCTCTCAGTGGGCTCCCCTGCTCCAGAGGAGAACACGGAAGGAAGTGCAGATGGGGATAGCCCTGTGGAGGCTGCCTCCAAGCCAGCCCTTCAGGAGATTCTCCAAAAGCACGGTGAGGATGACACTGGGTTCAAGGCAGCGTATCTCCTTTCTCTCATTGGCTTATAATCTAAATGGTCCAGGCTTGCTTGGTGTGGCTTGGGGTTTCAGCATCTCTGACATCTAAGTGGGGTTGCTTGGCAACAGTAGTCATTTATGCTGTTCTCTGAGAAAACAAGATAATGAAATACAGAATAGTCATTATTACATATGGTTTCTGCCTCCTCCCCCCCCCCCCACCTCAGCTTTTTTCTGTCCTTTTAGACAAAGTATTGCTCTGCCACCCAAGCTGGCTTCCGACTTGAGATCCTCCAGTATTAGCATCTTGAATGCCGAGACAATAGACATTTACCACCATGCTCAGCTATGTAACATCCCTTTAAGTGAGGAAAGAGATGGCCAGTAAGGAATAACTATGCCAGGTGCTTGCTTTGCCAGCTCCCACCTGGGAGAGGCGGCTCAGCAGCCTGCTGCAGCACGGTAGAGTAGTTGGACACTAAATCTGGTTCATCCGTTAGAAAAGCCTTCTGAGAGTCAGCAAGCTGCCAAGCCCGATGACCAGAGTTCAGTCCCTGGAGCTCCATAAGGTGGAAGGAGAAGCTGACATACCACTCTCCACACACACACCTGTTAACTAAACAAATACATTTTAATTTTAAAGAAAAAACAAAGTTCAGGGCTGGAGAGATGGCTCAGAGATTAAGAGCACTGGCTGCTCTTCCAGAGGTCCTGAGTTCAATTCCCAACAACCACATGGTGGCTCACAACCATTTGTAATGAGATCTGGTTCCTTCTTCTGGCCTGCAGGCTGACATGCAAGCAAACACTGTATATACAATAAATAAATCTTTTATTAAAAATATAAGCACTAACTTATTAAAGAAACAAAAAAGGTTCTGAGAACCAAGTATATGGCTCAGTAGTCAGAGACACTCCCTGTTACTCTCAGAACCCATGTGGTGGACAGAGAGGAACAACACCCACAGAATAAACAAATCAAAATGTAATTTTTAAAAGTTTAAAAGAGACAATGGGTTCTGAATGCATAATAGTTTTGCATTGTACTCACAGATGTTCCCAGGGAGCCTTTATTCTGACTTGTGACTGAGGCCTGGGGAATGCAGCTCAGTTGGTAGAGGGTTTGCCTAGCATGCATGAAACCCTGGGTTTGGTCCTCAGCACTGAAGAAACTGTGACACATGCGTCTATGACCATATGACCCTGAACGCACCCGATCTTGTCTGATCTCGGAAGCTAAGCAGGGTCGGGCCTGGCTAGTACTTGGATGGAATAGTGACACGTGCTTGTAATCCTACCACTTGGAAGATGGAGGGTAGGGCATTCTTTCAAGGATCTTCTTGTCTATATACCAAGTTCAAGGCTATCCTGGACTACATGAGATTCTGTCTCAAAAATAAGTGCTAGAAGTGAATGAAAAGGTGGCAGATAATCGCTGGATAGCACCTGACTCAGATTGGGTGGTTTGGCGAGCTTCCCAGAGGAAGTGTGAGGGCCCGACAGCACAGGACCTGGCCCATTGAGGTGGGGTGTGGAGCAGGATGTGAGGGTGGGTAGGGTGAGCCTGGAGGACTTACAGGGGCTAGTTCTGGGTGTGCAGATGTAGGGACATGGTAGTGCCCACCTTTACTTCCAGCACTCGGAGGCAGAGGCAGGAGGATCTCTGTGAGTCCAAGGCCATCCGGGTCTACAGAGTGAGTTCCAGGACAGCAAGGGTTCCATAGTGAGAACCTTGTCTCAAAAACAAATTTAAAAAGAAGGAGGAGGAGGAGGAGAAGAAGAAGGGAGGCCATAGCAGGATGTTGGAGTTTGCCTAAAGCAAAATTGGAGGTGGTTGTGCAATAGGATATTATGTAGCTCAGGCTGGCTTCAAGCTTTTATGTAGCCAAGGATAGCCTTGACTTTCTGATCTTCTGCCTGTGTCTCGTGAGTACTGGGATTATAGACATGCACTGCCATATCTAGTTCCAGTTAGTGATTTATTAGTGTGTGTGTGTGTGTGTGTGTGTGCGTGCGTGTGCGCGTGCGCGTGCACGCGCAGGTGTGTATACATGTCATAGCACACACATGACCATCAGACAACTTTAGGGAGTCAGTTCTTTCTTTCCCCCATGTGGATCCTAGGAATTGAACTCAGGTTGTCAACCTTGGCCGCAGGTTCCTTTACCCGCTAAGCCAATATGATCTTTGGGACCACAGTTGGCAGTTGCTGACTGTGTTTCCTTTTCTGCCAGGCATCTTAGGTAGTGTGAACTATGATGAGGAGACCGACAATGAGGAAGAGGAAGGAGACAGTCTTAGCTCTCCATCAGCTCATTCAGAAAAAGAGAGTTCTGCGGCCAGCCAGAAAGCAGCCTCGGTATGTGGTCCTTTGCAGCTAGTATGATTATCCCCAAACACTGGCAGGTGTTTGCACTGGGGCTCCTGGTTTGTTTGATTCACCAGATTGCCCTTGGGGAGGAGGCTGGGGACAGGGGGAGGAGGCTGGGGTCAGGGGGAGGAGGCTGGGGGGGAGGAGGCTGGGGTCAGGGGGAGGAGGCTGGGGACAGGAGGAAGAGGCTGGGGGAGGAGGCTGGGACAGGGGGAGGATTTTGTCCACTAAGCGTCTTGTGGCAGGGAAGGAAGTTTGCGCCCAATTCTGGTTACTCACATAAAACGCCATCTTCAGGAGACAGGCGCTTCAGGTGTCATAGCCCAGCAAGGTGATGGCCAGCTTGGAGAAGTGGAGAATTTAGAGGACTTTGCATACAGTCCTGCCCCTCGGGGTGTCACAGTGAAGTGTCGAGTCACCAGGGATAAGAAAGGCATGGACCGAGGCCTCTTCCCTACCTACTACATGCACCTGGAGAAGGAGGAGAATCGCAAGGTATGGGGGCCACCCTAGGCACGTTTCTTTCTTTGCCTCTAGTGCTGGCCATGAAGCATCGTGCACCCTAGGCAGGCACTCCTCCACCAAGCCACGCCCTGGACCCTAAGATGCCACGAGGGGACAAGGCTAGGGTAGGACTTGGTTATGCCTGGGGAGTCCCACTGGTTAGAACATGTCAGCTCAAAGTTGTGTACCCAGGAGCTCTGTTCTTAGTGCCGTCACGTCAGGGCAGGGTCTGTATTCCTCACCCCTGCCCACCCTCTAGAAAAACTTCCGTCCCTAATGTAGGGAAGTGGAGAAGTGTTTCCCTGTGCTAGGATGGAGCTCAGCCCCAACCACTGAGCTGCCCCACCACTGAGCTGCCCCAGCACCACAAGAGTGTAGGAGTGTGCTTCTCCCTCCCACTTTTGCCTTCTTTTTATGGGCTCTCATGTAGCCCAGGATAGCCTCAAACTTGGACAGAGGGTGACTTGCTGAACTCCAGATCCTTCTGCCTCAGCCTTCCAAGTGCTGGGATTAAAGGTGTGCACCACCACGCCTGGCCGACGGTTAACATCTTTGCAGGTGATAGATACTGGTAGACGTTTGTGGTCTCACTGGACTTGTGTTTGATATTTTTCTTTTCTCAGATATTTCTTCTTGCTGGTAGGAAGCGAAAAAAGAGCAAAACATCCAACTACCTGGTCTCCACGGACCCGACAGACTTGTCTCGTGAAGGGGAAAGTTACATCGGCAAACTCAGGTGATGGAGCCTCAGGTCGCCGGCCTAGTGTAGTCTTTCTGTAATTCCTGTAATTTCAGAATAATGGCTGTGTTACCCCCCACCCCTATGCAGTTCTCTTGTTCTGTGCTACTGGGGATCGAACCTAAGGCCTCACGTGTTAAGCAGTTGCTTTACCACTGAACTATAGCCCAAACCTTTGCTATAGTTGTTTATTTGTAAATGATTCAAATACAGAGATGTGTTGATCTTAAAAAGGAAAAAGTTAGCTGAGCAGTGGTGGCACACGCCTTTAATCCTAGCACTTGAAGGCAGAAGCAGGAGGATCTCTGTGAGTTTGAGGCCAACCTGGTCTACAAAGTGAGCCCATGACAGCCAGAGCTGTTACACAGAGAAACCCTGTCTCAAAAACAAAACATGAAAACAAGAACAAAGTTAAAAGAGACTCTTGAGGCCTCTATCTCAAAAAACAAAAAACAAACAAACAAAAATACATACATACATACATACATACATACATACATATATACATACATAAAAAGAAAAAAGTTAAAAGAGACTCTTGAGGCCAGGCATCATGGCTCATACCTTTGCTCTCAGAATTTAGGGGACAGAAGCAGGTGGATCATGAGATCCAGGCCAACAAGGGCTACACAGAGAAACCCTGTCTCAATAATTAAATAATAATGATGATGTAATTTATTTTGTTAAATCATTTATTGATTGTTAATAAATTGCTTATTAACTCTTTTAAATAAACATTTGAAAATCTTAGGCCAGGCGTAGTGTGGCTTATGCCCGTCACCCCAGCACCTAGCAAACTGAAGTAAGAGGATTTTGTGCACAAGTTCAAGGCCAGCCTAGGATATAGAGGAAGACCCTCAGCAAACGAGGAAGGAATCTAGCCTTCCTTGTGGTCTGTGCTCTTTGGGAGATCGTGTCTGTGCCCCCCCCTTGGCTGTCAGGAGGACAGCTGTCTCCTCTGCTTGTCTCCTGGAGGGAAAAATGCAGATCGTCATGGTCGTTTTCCTCCTGGTACCAGATCCAATCTCATGGGGACCAAGTTCACAGTATACGACTATGGTGTCAACCCAGGCAAGGCCCAGGGTCTGGTGGACAAGGCCCACACCCGACAGGAGCTGGCCGCCATCTGCTATGTAAGTGCTGTCTTGCCTTACCTGCTGCTCCCCCCCTCTGCCCCACTGTGCTGCCAGCCAGGCCCTGAGCCAGCTCTGCCCCTCCTCCCTTAATGCTCCTTTTAGGAGCCGGTATCGCTTCTTCTTGTATCTGAGTTTTAATTGGATTTGGATCACCAAATTCGGCTGTGACTCACTCTCCACTGCCCTCCCTTGTCTTGGTACTCACTCTTTGGCCAGAGGCTACAATAAGAGCGAAGCCACCTCTTTGCATTTAATCTTTCCCTTCCCTCCTTTTCTCTTTTTCTTTTTTTGTAGTCGTTGTTTTGGTTTGGTTTTTTTTTTTTTTTTTTTTTTTTTCTTTTGAGACAGGGTCTTCTTGTATGCCCAGCCTTGCTGCATATTCCAGGCTGGCCTCAAACTCTCAACCTTCCTGCTTCAACCTGCTGAATTCTGGGATTAAAGGTGTGTGCCACCACAGCTGGCTTTTTTCTTTCTCTCTTTCCTTCCTTGACAAGGTCTCACTACTTTGCCTACGCTAGCCCCAAACTCCTGGGCTCAAACAGTCTTATTTCAACCTCCCAAGTACTGGGACATGTGTGTGCAGGCGTGTGCCACCACACCTGACTTCTGTGTTCAGTTCTCAGGTTCTGTGTTTAGCCCCAGCAAAGAAATGAAACAGGTTTCGGTGCTCTCAACGCTGGCAATATTTTTTGGCATTCTGGGTGCTGGCAGTATTTTCCATGCCAGAGGAGGTTTCCTGTAAGAACAGTCCTAGGTTGCTTCTTCCCTTCCCTTTTCAAATTCGGCCTTGTTTTACTGTCTTCCAGGAAACAAATGTACTGGGTTTTAAAGGTCCTAGGAAAATGTCTGTGATCATTCCGGGAATGAATATGAATCACGAACGCATCCCATTTCGGCCACGAAATGTAAGTAAAAATACATTCACAGTGAGATCAGGTCTCAGAGACAGAAGAAAGATTATATTCCATCGGCGATGCCTCTTGAATACAGTAAAACTGTACAGAACAGACCAGCTAGAAAAGACAAGAAAGAAGGGTTGCTCCTTTGGAACCAGGCCATTGTGCAGGTCTTCTGTTATCAGAAGAGCCCCTGCTCACGGTCCCCCCGGGATGGGGTGGTCCGGAGATGCTGGCTTGAGAAACACCAGATGGCATATAGGAATCTTAAAGCTGGGTCTGGAGAAATGGCTCAGCGGTTAAGAGCACTGGCTATTCTCCCAGAGGACCTGGGTTCAATTCCCAGCACACATACAGGGTGGCTCACAATCACCTGTAACTTAAAATAAAAACAACGATCAGTAATTGTTCTTAAAGTAGAAAAAAATGCTAGAAAGAATCGCGAAGCTTAACTGGGATCAACATGTAAAATAAGAAATAATAATAATAATAATTGAAAAAAAAAAAACCTTGCAAAGCTAGTGGTGATGTTTGGCTTCAGTTCTGTTGCCGTTCCAACTTTTTCCCTCTTCCACCGTCTGACTCTCAGAATTGTGACTACGTGACAATCATTTCCCATCCACACAGGAACACGAGAGCTTGCTTTCCAAGTGGCAAAACAAGACCATGGAGAACCTGATCGAACTGCACAACAAGGCCCCCGTGTGGAGCGACGACACCCAGTCCTACGTCCTCAACTTCCACGGCAGGGTCACTCAGGCATCCGTGAAGAACTTTCAGATCGTCCATGGAAACGACCGTAAGCCCGCTGGAAGGGACCCTAAGCCGGCAGCGGGAAGGGCTAGGTGGGACTGGGGAGGGTACTCTGTGCCGATGTGGAAATGGGCACTTCCGGGGAGCCATGCCAGGAGGGAGTGACTGAATTTTAATCTCTTGAAAAGACAGAGCCACAGGGCCCGAGGGGTGTGAGCATCTTCCCATGGCACAGCAAAGAGCTCTTGGGTGAGGCCATTTAGAACCCAGGTGCAGGTGACCGCAGTGAAGCCAGCCAGCTGACTGCAGCCCCGTCAGTCACCTCTGGTCCTCCTGCTTCTCTGGGCTCTCCGCCTGTGCCCCATGTTGGTCAGGAATAATGTCTCTACACTCTATCGGGAGAACAGAAGTAGAAACTTCTGGTTTTACCTTTTTGAGACAGGCTCTTCCTATGTCGGCCCAGCCAGTGGAGCTGCCATCCTCCTTAATGTTGGGATTGCAAGTGTGTGCCACCGCACCAACTACAAGCTTCCTGCTTTGTTTGTTTGTTTGCTTGCTTTTGTGCTGGGGTGGAACTTGGCACCTCCATCTCCCTCTCTTAGTGGCCCATTTTTAAAAAAATAATTTATTTTCAGTGCATTGGTGTTTTGTTTGCAGGTATATGTGTGTGAGGATGTCAGGTCCCCTGGAACTGGAGTCACAGACAGTTGTGAGCTGACGTGTGGGTGCTGGGATTTGAACCCCAGTCCTCCGGAAGAGTAACCAGTGCTCTTAACTGCTGAGCCATCACTCCAGCCTATTTTAGAGAGAACTTGTGGCTCGCCAGTCCCATCCCCAGTACAACCACATTAACCTCTAACATGGTCGTTTCTTTCTGTTTCCAGCGGACTACATAGTCATGCAGTTTGGACGAGTGGCTGATGATGTATTCACACTAGACTATAACTACCCATTGTGTGCACTTCAAGCCTTCGCCATTGGGCTGTCCAGCTTTGACAGCAAGCTGGCTTGTGAATGAGAAACAGCAAGCAGGGGACATCCTCACCACAGAGCCTTCAGGAGCAGAAAGTGGCTGCCCTTGACCGGCCCCAGCACAAGAATAGCAATCTTCTGCCCCTGCCGGGGATGAACGAGTGTGTGTGTGTGTGAATGAGCATGTGTATGTTCAGACATGCACACACTCGTTCATGCTGTCTCTGAGCTTCACAGACCTGGCCGTGGATCATAGCTCCCTGTGGGTGAGAGATGGCTTAAAGCCCAGGGAGGAGGACACCTGGGCATTCTGGTGACTTGCACAGCAGCTCCTCTGCGGCATGTGTAGTTTCCTGTGCTCAGGCGCTTCCAGCAGAATCAGGTTCTCATGATGAAATGCTTCCTTTCTTGTTTCAAAAGGGGACTATTCCCTTGGATGCCTTTAGCCTCTAAGACAGGAGCCTGCAGACTTTCTCAACCAATGGTCTCATGGCGTCTCTTGGACTGTCTCCACTTAGCCTTCTTTAGCACAAAACAGCCATAACCAGTTGATGCACAAAGAGCATAGCCAGGTCCCAATAAAACTTTATTTATACAGTGGGCACTGGCCTACTTTGGCCTGGGCTCTGGTTTGCCAGCCTGCCTCAGTGTAACCCTATACTCCAAAGCTGAAGCATCTTCTAGATCATAAATAGAAAGGGGCACGGTTTGCTTTTTAGGGGCAGCAGACTGACTACTTATATCTTTACTTTTGTTTTTCCTGAGACAGGGTTTCCATGTTTAATAGCCTTGGATGTCCTGGAACTCACTCTGTAGACCAGGCTAGCCTCGAACTCACAGGGATCCCCCTGCCTCTCCCAAGTGCTGAGATCAAAGGCGTGCCCGTCACCTCCTGTTGAGACTGACTCTTAAGAGGTGCTTGTGCCGAATCTGCTCTTGGTCGCTTTTACCTCACGGTGATGATGGCTGTAGGTGTCATCTGCCTTCAGGAAGCTCAAGTCAGTGTCCTATTGTCTGTTTCTGGATCATGTGACGCTATCTTGTTTCTGGGGTCTGGGAAAGCTCTCATGCCCTGGCCTCCTTCCCTGTCCTCAGAGCAGGGTGGTAGGCAAGGATCTCAGCAGAGTGACTGGCCAGACCTCTGAAAGCCTCGCCCTCCAGGGTCTTCGTCTAGTGTGAGAGGCAATGGGACCGCCTGCCTCACTCACTCCACAGGCCTTGCCGGGTCAGCTTTGTCCTCTGGCCTTCAAGCCTGGCCCACCAGAGAAGACACTCCCTAGCTCACTGACGCTTTTGAAAGCGTGAACACTTCATGCAAACCATGAGAAATTTCTCCAGTTCACCTGACCTTGAGAATTCCAAAACTTCGGCCCTGCATTCAGTGGTTGTCCACTGCCAAGCTGCTTCCGGGTTGGGTGAAGGGTTGCCGGCTACTGCTCCGCTCCATGGTTTTGTCCATGGGGACTCCTCCTTTCTCCCTGCTCAGCATCAAGCGGCTGTGTGGTGGCCTGAGATGTGGGAGGAGGAAACCTGGGTTCACCGCGTGTCCCGTTGTCCTGTCTGTCCTTCAGGTATCACTGGTTTCTGCCTCAGGCATGCTTCCCATTCAGTGCCTTGTTCATAAGCGTGCTCTGAAGCCTGTCACACCTCTATCACCCACTGCCCCTGACAAACCGCCTTTGCTGAGCAGAAAGTTGTTCATTGTCTCCAGTGAAATGGCGTGGGGACCATGGGCCACTGGATCTACTCCTGTCCAGCTAAGAGAGCTGTATACGCCCATTTCATAGGCTCTCTGCTTGAGTGTGCAGATGAGCAGATGATCGGTTTTACGTAAATCATATTTATACCTTTTGTATGCCATATAAATAAAGATAATTTATATAATAACGTCACCTTCTTCCCAGAACCCCACCCTTTGGGCTTTGTCCTGTTGTATTCTGTGGGAATGTTCTTTGGTTCAGTCCTTGGGTACCACAGACTGAGAAGTCTCCTTAGGAGAGAGTGTGGCGGCATCATACTCAAGATCTTAGAGCTCTCTGCATGGATGGTAGAACTGAGCAGAATTCACAAGGGGCTCTGAGGAGTCAGGTTGCAACATTCTTGGACTCCATCATCGTGAGCCTCCTGGATCTTTTGTTGACATTGTGCACTGATGCAGCTAAGCAGTAAACAGAGGTCACCTCTTATTCCAAGGTCACTCTGTGTGTATGTAGGGAGTCTTGTGCACCCAAGGCTGGCCTGAACTCTCTGTAGAGCCCAGGCTGCCTTTGAACTCACCTCCCTCCTATCTCAGCCTCCCAAGTGCTGAGACCACAGGGCTATGTCACCATGGCTACACTTCACGTTTAAGGATCACCTCCTATTGACAAATGGAAAGAAGTCACCTGCCCGCAGATGCTCCATGGGCTTTCACTCTGGGCACCAATAAAGACAGGAAAAGTCCCAGCTGAGAATTTAGTTCTCACTAACCTGGTTTTTCTTGGTGCATAGTTTTATGTGGCTAAGGTGCATGATGGCCTTGGTTGTGTTTTTTGTTTGTTTGGTTTTTTTGTTTGGAGGTCTCACTAGTTTTTGGTGTGTGGTTGTTTTGCCTGCACGTGTTGTTTGCAGATGTTTACAGAGACCATAAGAGGGCATGGAGTCCACTTTAACTGGAGTTACGTGGTTGTGAACTGTCCTGTGAGTGCTAAGAATTGAACTCTGGTCCTCTGGAAAGACAGACACCAAGTGTTCTTAGCCACTGAGCCATCATCTCCAGGCTCTGCCTCTTGAGTGCTGCTATCCAAACAGATTCTTTATAACACTTTTGTTTGATATTTAGTGATATCATCAGTTAGGTTGACACTTGTGGATTCTTTTTGTCCTATATGTAATTTTCTAGATGCACAGAGACATCCACATAGGAAACACTGGGACACTGAATACTACCTTGTTCCCAGCCTCTGTGGCTGCTTTCTGGTCTCCTTTTATCAAGGTTTTATTGCTGGTTTTGTTTTAAGCCATGATCTTGAGGGACAACATGGTATCACATGCCTGTAATTCTAGAACGTTAGTGGCTGAGGCTAGAAAGGGGAACCTTGGAGGCCAATCTGGTCTACACAGCCAGACAAACTAGCAAAAGTCCCAGTCTGCAAAGAACAGGGCTCTCTTGTGCCACAACAGACTTTGCCTTGCTGTGAGAGAAAGTAAGAGAGTTTTGTGGTGCCACCTCGTGGTTAATAGTGCACATTACAACTCAAGAGCTCCAGTGACCACACCACCGCCCTGTGTCACACAGTAACTCTTAAGAGAACACAAGTAAATGTCTGGTGTCTGGGGATTGAGTCTTGATAGTCAAACTATCTCAATGAGCTATGAGCTATGCACCTGGCTCCAAATACTTTTAAAGTAAATATCAGGACCTAAGGAGACAGCTCAGAGGGTAAGTAAGAGCGCTTGTGGCTTTTTTCCAGAGGACCTGGGTTCAATCCCTAGTACTAACTTGGTAGCAGGAACTTATAACTTCAGTTCCAGGGGATGGACACTCTCTTCTGACCTCAACTGGCACTGGGAACACACATGGTGCACAGACATATTGATGAGCCAGCCTGCCTCCATTTTAAACTTAAAAGCCATTTTTACCTTTAATCCCAGCACTCAGGAGGCAGAGGCAGGTGGATATCTATGAGTTTGAAGCCAGTCTGGTCTATAGAGCTAGCTCCAGGACAGCTAAGGCCATTACACACAGAAACCCTGTCTTAAAAAAAAAAAAAAAAAAAAAAAAAAGGCCATCTTATCATAAAGAAAAACTAGGCGCATTCCTGTTTATGATAAAACCTGTTTCTCAGGGACTGGGTTATACCCTCCTGTAACCTTAACTACAAACTGTTCTAAACTGCCTGTCCCAGGAAACCGCAACCATGTCTTTGTTTCAAAAAGTTGTTTATAACTATCTTGCAAACCTCCCTTTGTTTCAAAAGGTTGTTATGGCTACCTGTTGTTATGACTACCTGTTGTTATGACTACCTGTTGTTATGACTACCTTGGTACACCACCTTGCAATCACATCTTTGTTAGAACTAACCTGTATGCTTATGCACTGCTCTGTAACCCTTCCCATTTGCCTGCCAAATCCCCCATTTGGAAACCTCCCACCCCCACCCCCTGAGGTATAAAAACTTTGTCTTCCCCGCGTCCAATGCTGACCTCTGGAACTCTACCTTAGGGGATCAGGAATAAAAAGGCTTGCTTTCATTAATTGCTTGCCTTTATTAATTTGGTCAGGATGATGAGGATAAGCAGTCTTCCTTCTTGCATATTTGAGATTAACAATATCTGCTGGCAAAACACTCATACACTCTATTTTCCTTTTTTGGGTTTTTCAAGACAGGGTTTCTCAGTGTATCCCTGGCTGCCCTGGGACTCACTCTGTAGACCAAGCTGGCTTCAAATTCACAGAGATCCGCCTGCCTCTGCCTCCCAAGTGCTGGGATTAAAGGCGTACGCTGCTGCTGCTGCCGCCACCACCACCACCGGCCTGGCTAATTTTTTCACTTCCCCAACCCCTTACTGAGCAGTTTGTGTGTCCAGCTCTGCCAGCCATAGGTCCCTGTCATGCTGCCCTCACACGCAGTTGGCCTGAGCAGGAAAGCAGTGCAGAGTGCCCACAGACAGGCAAGGAGGGGATTGGTTTAGTTTTCTTTTTTAAATCTGCAGAACCCAGAAACTCATAAATGGAAGGATGGAGTCCTTCAACTACAACTACATTCCCAGGCCCTTGGCTCCTGATTTTAGGATCTCTACCTGGTGGTTGGAGCTATCATGCTTAGGCTGAGGAGTCAGCAGATGATAGGAATTGCAGGGAGGAACTCACCTCTCACAAGAAAGGGAAATGGGTAGAGTCCTACAACCCCCCCCCCAAGGCACACCCCCAATGACCTAAGGTTCTCCCATCAGACCCCACCTAAGCTGGCAGCTAGCCTTTTCATACCAGAGTCTTTGTGTGCTGCTCATCATCCAAACTGTAGCAGGGCCCTGGTGTCAGTAAAAGTTTCCCTGGCCTGTGGCCACTTTTAGACACATCTTTAAAGTCAGTTCTGGAGACTCCCGGCAACACTACACGCCTATGGTTTGTCTTTCCTATGATTCTCCAGTATTTCTAGAATGGTTAGCTAGCAGTTCTCTTTGAGGTGTTCGAAGGGACTGGCCAGCCCTGAAATGGCAAGCGTGGCCCTGAGAAGCTCTGCCTTCTGTGTCTTGCTAAAAACCATTAGATTTCACTCCTAAAGCTATTCACCTTATTTTGGCCACTTCCTCCTCTTGAGGCTGACTGCCATGGTTCAGCTGTTACAGTATTAAAGCCCAGCAATCAAAAGCCCCTTTGGCTGCCCTAATCAACCTATCCGATCAAAATTTAACTCCCCATCCTAACACAGGGTTTCCCCTTTTTCCTGTAGAAACCACCATTTGCCTATGGGCCACATCAGTCTCCTCTCTATCCAGAAGCAGGTCCTTTGTCCCTCCAGGACAAATGTTCCTTCTCCTCTCTCCCTTGTCTTCTGTCATCTCCTTTGTGCTGAGAACTTGGTCTTGGGTGCCTTGTGCTGATACTGGTCCCTTCAGCTTGGGAGCAGGAAGGCTAGGGAAGGAGATGGTTTGAGGAGGAAATGAGGGTGACAGGCAAAAAACAAAGGTGCTGGTGGGAGGAACCTGGAGAGATGGCTCAGAGGTTAAGAGTACTGCCTGCCTCTTCAAGAGGACCCGAGTTCAATTCCCAGCAACCACATGGTGGCTCACAACCATCTGTAATGAGATCTGGTGCTCTTTTCTGGCCTGCCTAGACACACAGGTATGCATAATAAATAAATAAATCTTAAAAAAGAAAGCCAGGAATTAGGTAATTTTAAAATTGATGACTGGCAACTGGGCACTGGGGGTGCATGCTTTTAGTCCCAGCACTTGGGAGGCAGAGGCAGGCGGATCTTTGTGAGTTGGAGAACAGCCTGGTCTACAAGAGCTAGTTCCAGGACAGCCTCCAAAGCCACAGAGAAACGCTGTCACAAAAAACCAGTTTTTGTTTTTCCTTAGGTTTTTCTTTCCCTTTTTATTCAATTTATTTACGTACTTCCTCATTGTGGATTTGTGAGGCAGGGTCTCATGGACCCCATGTTGTCCTTTGAAGTCCTCAATGTAACACAAGACAGTGAATTCCTGACCCTCCTGGCTATACAGGACTGTCCTGCACCCCTCCCCCACACCCAGGCCTTAGAGAACTGGAGTCATAGGCACTGGGCTGTGCAGTGCTAGGGATCCAACCAGGGCTCTAGGCAAGCCCTCTGCCAGCTGAGCCACATATTCCCTGTTCACTTCTTTAAAAAGTTTAATGGACACATGCAATTGTACATACTTATGGATACTGAGTCACCAGGGCCAACATACCCATCCATGTCTTTAGACGCTTATCATTTCCTGTGACCAGACTGTCAGTTTGTGTGTAAACAATGTTCTATGTGTGTACATCCACCCCCTCACTCAATAACCCTCACCCACACTTCACTCCGTTTGTTTATTTATGTGTTTAAGATAGGGAGTCTCTATATAACAGTTCTGGCTGTCCTGAAACTTGCTTTATGCACCTTGCTGGCCTTGAACTCACAGAGATCCACCTGCCTTTGCTTCCCCAGTGCTGGGATTAAAGTTGTGAGTCACCACCATCCATCCGGCTACACCTCACTCTTGATATCTCCCTCCATCCTGATTTCTCTCCTGAGGTCACAGACACTCTTAGGATGTCCCCTTTAGATGGTCAGTCCATGGCTATGCTGCCAACCAGAATAACCACTCACGTATAAGTAGTTATTGGTTTTATTTATTGGTCTTTTTGAGACAGTCATATACAGCCCAGACTGGCCTA